AATTGAAACCGTTTTTTAAATGAAATTATTCAGAATAAAAAAGACTTTCGGAGGTTATGGAGGGGTTTCAACCCCAAACCCCCTCCCCTCCCCCTCCCCTAGTCTACGCCCCTGAATAATATTATACTTCATCAAAATTTAAATTCATCAAATGTTAAAATATAAGAAAATCAAATTTATACATTTCAAAATTATATATAAATAATATTTCATTCATTTTACCTTTACCATCTAGATTTTTATTTACATAACCTTTATTATTGATTATTGCTAAAATTGGATTTAATTGCCTAAAAATTATATAAAAATTAATACAATAATCTTCATCATAATTTTAATCAATCATATGTTGATATAAGGACATAAAATTTACAAATTACATTTAAAAATAATATATAAATATTAAATTAATCTTAACCATTACGAATTACATTTTATTTAAATAATCTCTATTATTAAATATTGCCAAAATTTGATTAAATTGTTTAAAAATTACATAAAATTATTGTGGTTATATCTTAAAAATTAGCTAAATAATGTAGATAAATTTACCTGTTAGTTGGCTAGTGTACCTTGTTGATTTACAATATTTATACTTTTAGCCTTATTCCATTATAATATCAATTCATCAAATTTTGATATACTTCTACTAGATAATAATTAATATAAAATGTATGACCCTTTGTAATTTTATTGGATTTGTATTTTTGCACCATATCAAATAATGTAATAATTACTAAAAATAATCAATCAAATGAATTGACATGTATGCTTTAGCAAGCCGCGCTAGCTCTTAATTTACTAATCATGGTTGATATAGTATCTAGACAAATGCTCATAAAACCTTTTCAAATTATTAAAGAATGTTTAAACTTCTATAAAATTTAATTTATATATAAATTATTATATATTTTAATAAAAATTAAAATTCGGTCATGTAAAAATCTTTTGATTTTTCATCAAAATTTTATTTCTTAAATAAAATTTTTTTATAATTAATTATTTCAAAAGATTTTTTTCTATAGATGTAAACTGATAAAAGGTATATTAGGATAAAATTTTACCTTTCTGGTATATTTAATTTTAAAATGTGATTAGCCGCGGGGTTTATCAACCCCAGCCTCACTTACATTTAGTTCACATTATCATTATTATTTTTCTCAATAAATAAACATTTATAAATAAAACTTTGTGATGTGAAACATATAACAAGGTCGATTTTTGTAAATCCACAATGAGCTGAGAATATCTAGTTAGATACTCTCGTTAAAAGAGATTAAAATATATTTTTTTAATTATATGTCAAACTTTATAAAAAGTGACCTAAACGGTTGTTTAAATAAAGTGATTAGAAGGAAGATATGATAGAGCTATTAGGACCTAGGTCCTTTAAAGAAAATACTTACGAAGAATTCTCTAAAAAATACCGGTTCTTTCGAAGAAGGTATAAAACAAACAGCATTATATCGATCTACGTTTGTTCCTTATCCTTCTCTAACCCTCTCTCAAATACCGTCATAGCATGTTCTAAGAGTATAATTGCCCTATAAGACCCTTAATGAAAAGAATATTTTTCATTTTTATACCGACCGAGATATTTACACTTCTTCGCCAATCCTCCGAAATAGTTACCAGAGTAACTTTTAGATTACATAAATTCGTAAACCATTCAACTCTGAATCTTCACAGAGCCCCTGAATATTTTTCTTACCACTCTTGTAGAACCCGCTGCTTTCCCACTTTTCTATCCTTCCCAACGTTTCTTAATTTCTTCTTTATTTAAAAATGAATTTATAAAAATATGTTCTACATATAAAAAAAACAAATTATGACATTAAAAAATTTTAGGGTTTGCCGTTGTTTTTCAAAACAGAAACTCTTATTATGTTGTGAGCACTAAATATATAACAACATTTTTTATATTGTGTTATCATTGAAAAAAAAAATTTAAAAAATTTCATTACACCCCTATTTTTACCATTCTTTTGAACAATATCTCATTTAAACCAACATTTACTAAAATATATAATTTTTTACACTAAACTTATAATTTATTCAATAAAACTGAATATCTATAAAATTATTTTTTAAAAAATTGTTAATAAATTTATTTGTTTAAAAAATTTTGTGTTCAATGATATTGCATAAAAAATATTATTTTTATATACGGAATGTCTAAAAAATTAATTTTAAATAAAAAGAAGTTGTGATTTTTTATAGAAAATAATACTTAAATATCTTTATTTTTACGAGTATAATTTTGCCATATAAGATGAAAGTAATATAGAATTTATTTAGTTGAAAGAATGACATCAAGTAATTTTATTTTCTAAAAAATCCATAATTATGTCATCTTGAAAACACTAAAAGAAAATTTCTTCATTGATATAAAAAATATTAATTAAAAAATATATGCCGTGCATTAGTTAGAACCTTGGGAGGAACATATTTTATTTATGAATATTTATCTTTTATAAAAAAAATTTTAAAATGGATAATAAAAATTATCTATTGAACTGAGGGAGTATATAAATCATTGCTTAACCATGAGATCCATTAATTATTAAAACAACAATAAAAAAATTTTTTTATATGTAATAAATTAATTATTTCGTTGTAAATTATATTTATTTTAAAAATTGTTTCAATATATTTAGAATTTTTTAAATATTTATATAAATATTCAGCTGATTTTTTAAATAAATTATAAGCTTAGTTTAAAAAAATATTATTTTTAATGTGCGTTTTAATTGGGAATTCGTTCAAAAGAATGATGAAAATATGGGCAATTATATTTTTTATTTTATTTTTATGATGCTCGAATTGAATGAGAGAAAATAGAAAAAAAAATGCTATTAATGTATTTTGTCCTCTCATGTTTTTGTTAGAAAATTCCGGTAAACTTATATATATAAAATAAACTCAAAATACAATAAACAAAAATAATTAGAAAAATGGGATAGCTTTACCAGCATTGTTATATGGAACCACGAATAGCAATGCAATTTCTCTGATAAATTGCCATTGCCGCTTTAGGTAGAAGACTTTATTCCGCTTGACCGAAACAAAATAAAAAGTAAAATTGCAGTATTTAGCGGAATTAACAATAAATAAACATATTTAGTATAAGCAAAGCAAGTATCAAATTTAATAAAAAAATGCAATTGTATAAATTAATTGATTTGTTAAAATAGCTGATTTATTTTGTTGTTAGTGTAGGGCACCTTTATATGACAGGATATTCACTGAGGCAAACCCCTTTCAAATATTTACACCTAACCCTAATAAATATTTTGCCGCATTCGGTAGCGTTCTCGCGCTATTCTTTATTGAGTTTTTAATTATAACGCCCTAAATATCAAGCTACTCTATATTAATGATTCAAATACCATTTATTAATATCACAATTATAAAAAATAAAACTGTATTATATTTCAAGAAGGATATCAATTAAATTACAATTCATAACTATTTTATATGCGGTTAAATTATTTAGTAGATTAACACTAGTCAATGTAATTATAGTTTTTTCATTTGTTTCCTTTTTAGTTGTTTATTCGTTTTTATTTTACATTTTCTCCCTTTTTTTTATCTACATCATATTTTATCAAGTTCCATTCCACCATATTTTATATTTCAACACCTAAATTTTATCTAGAACGAGATTTAGAGCCTAAAAGTTTTATTTATTTAATTATATTATATATAATATAAATAAATTCTAGGTTTCAATAATGTCCTCCAAAGATTTAGAAGATAATACATATACTATTACTGTGACAGCAGATATAAGTGAGAATGAGTTTTTCACCATTTCATAATTTACGTATTCTACTTTACGTGAAACGGATGGAAGTAACTATACAATAATCAATGCAAATTGCTCTTTATGTAAGAACAAAATATCTCAAAGATTAGCAATTCAAACCTCAAAAGGCATTTAGAAGTAATTAACTCTTAAAAATACAGTTTTTATTATTTATTTGTGAAGAGCATAACAATATGCATATAATAAGAATTATTTACAATGATTAATAAAATATTTATTTATGTGTTAATAAGGCTAAGTTTTGCAGATACCCTCACCCAAAATTTAAGCTAAATTGGCCTTATATTAATCTGCCATTAAATATATTGGTAAAAGAAAGATTAATTTCTCATTTGGAAAGTATGCAAGATCGACCACATGCAGATGCTTCAAATGAAGGTATGGATGAAATATACTTTTTTGGGAAAAATTATTCACAAAATGCTCGTTCTATTAATAATTTTTTTTATTCAAATGATGATTCAATGAATATTTTTAATACATATGTTAACTAAATATTTATACACAATTTGCCATCAAGCGCTCCTGTGGAGTGCTTGTTAAGTAAAGCTAAACATGTGCATAATTAAAGACGTGGGTGTTTAAATGATAATAAATTTAAAAAATTTTCATTATTAATGGCTAATTTTAATTATAAATAAATATATTCTAATTTTTATACTTATATTATATTTTTCAATTACAATAAATATATACCACATTTAGTTTATTTTTATATTATTTAATTTTGCATCGATCAGAAATTTCCTTCAGAAATTTAAATAAGAAAAGGATCGTGATAGCGATCCTTTTTAAAAAAAAGTCAATTCTGTATTTCGATCCACTTTTTTTGAAATGATTGTGATAGAGATTCGATCTTTTTAAAAGGATCGATTAACAACCCTCAGTATATATACCATTTATGTTTTTTATTTTTAACCGATCATAATTTAGAATTTTTCAAATGGATTAAATAATCATTCTTTCATAAATTCAAAATTTATAAATTGAATCGAGATTTGATATAATGATGGAGGGGCGAAATATTGAATTACTTAATAAATGCTATTGGTATAAAACATAATTATTGAAATTATTATATAATAAATTGAAGTGGAAATTCAAGGGATATTAAAGAACTTGATTTTATATGTATAAAGTGTTTAAAATGGGTTCATGCCTCTTGTACTATTATCAAGCATATATTCTATAGTTTTTTATTAATTTTTTTTTCGTAATAGCTTACTTAGTCCTATAAAATTTATGACTAATTATATATTCATTTGTAAAGAATGTGAAACTGATAATAAAGAAAACCTCTTCCGAAAATCTGCAAGTGATCTTAATATAAATTTATAGCTTATTTTGGTAAAAACTTGAATATTTATATAACGTTTAATAAATAGCTATGTTACAAATTTTAATTACAACTATTGGAAATTTAAGATATTTGGAAATTATAAAAAAATCAAACAAGAAGTATTTCTCAAAGGAAAAAGTACAATAACATTCCATTTTTCAGTTGAAAGATTTGATTGAAGGAAATTATACCATTTATAGAAGGAAACCTGGAAGCATTATCTATTACCACTCAAAAATATTTAAATTGGAAAGATTATATTGATAAGATATTGGTATATTGTAGGCCTTAGAATATTGCATATATAAAATATAATTTTACTTTCCATATTTAAATATTATCTAATTTAAAAGAATATATCCAAAATAACATCTAATTTTTAAATGGATTGTGAAAACTGTTAGGGGATAGGTAGGTAAATGTTAAAAATTATAGACAGGCAAAATAACATACGCACCCATTGCCAACCTCTAGGCTAAACTACACAAATTCTTAATTTATTATCTAGCTTTGGTAAGTTAATACCAGAAATACATTGATTTATAATTTGTTATTTAATATTACCTTTAAATTTATATGGGATACTCAATAAATAAATTTTTTATAAATAACTAATTACCTTTTCCCTTTTTTTTCTAAAAGCCCATTTGCATATTGCAAAATATTTTATATCATTTTATTAAATAATTTCCTCAATAAATCACATATTTCTTCATTTTAATATTTTTTTGATACATTTAGTAGGGATTTTAATATATGCCAAGATAATTTTTTTAAATCTCTGTTTTGACAGTTTTTTCTTTCAACACAAATTCTAAATTTTCCAATAAATTATCAATATCAATATTGATGTCATCAAATGGATTTAAAATAATTTTTGACGAATTAATATAAATTACTTTTTCTCCAAACATTTTTAATTTAAATTTCCTCAATAACCTCTGATTTATGGTTTCTTGATGAACAACGTAATTTAGTTACATACCTGCTTCATTTACTCCTGTAACTTCCGATGAACTTTCATAACTTGGAATAATTGAATGATCTCTTAGCTGATCTGCACATTTCTGCATAGGACAACGATATATGAATATAACTTCTCTCTTTTATCACTCCCTTTTTAACCTTTTGTATTCCCATTGTTAAAACAAACAGGTTGTGAAATCTTGAATTCTCTCCCTTTCGTCATGATTATTACTTTGTCTCTAATTTACCTTATCAATCTCATGTTCTACATTTGGTTTTATTTAATCCAAGCTAGTTTTCAATTGTCTTACAAACAAAATCTTGGCAAGATATCTCCACATAAAGCTATTCTCTCCAGTTGATAGGTGTTAAAACTATTTTCTATATCAGAAATTGACACTTGCTGCATAATATTGACCTAAAGTATGTAAGGTAAGCTCTAATCCATTAGTTTTTGGATGATAGGGTGCCGAACATATATGACATGTTATTTAAATCACAGTAACGATGGAATTCCATAGGTATGAATTGTGGTTTATTGTCTGATACAATATACTTAAATATTCCAAACCTAGCATTAACCATTTTTTAAACGTTTGATCATAGCCTCGGTTGAGGTATTTTGTATTAGATTAACTTCTAGCCATTTGGGAAAGGAATTTACCCCAATTAGCCCGTCCTCTGGCCCAACAAAATCAATATATATTCCCTTGCAAGATTCCTTATCTACAGTCCAAGAATATAGAGGTACTTCTTGAATTCCAGGTTTATTTTTCTGGCATCCAGAACATATTTTGATATAATTTTCTATGTTGATATTAAATCTGGGCCAATCGATTTCATTACATTTTCACCAGGATGTCCCCGATGAATTATTTTTAGCCCTGCATTCCTTAATTTATTGGATATCATCAATCTCCCATTCCATATTATGATATCACAATCAGATAACTTTTTCTGAAGATTATAAAATCTAATTTCTTTATCTTTATGACAATCAAAGCTTCACCAACTTTGCTGAATATGCCTTGCTATTTTTTTAAGTTAAGTCTTTCTTCGACTCTTTTAACACTATCAGATAAATTAAACAAAATAGTTGAGAGAATTTTAAAACAAATTTTGGATAATATTTAAATATTTGTTAATTTGAATACTAAATAATCAAGTACTTCAAACCAATGATATTACATTTTACAATTTTAACACCCCCCCCCCCCCCGCGCTCCAATTAAAGTCCTAAATATTTTTATAAATAAAATAGGGAAAATTATTTTTTTAACATCAAAAAATTAAATTCAGAAACTTTTCTAATTTTAACGATAATATATTTATATAAGGCTGGGTCCAAAATGTTTTTAAAAAATCCTTAAAATTTTAAAATTTTTGCAAATTAATAACAAAACACTTTGGACACATTTAAATTTTAAAAAAATTAAAATATTTAAAATGCTTGATATGATTCAATTATTAGGTATTTATTAAATATTTGAAGATACGACTGAACATAGTGATCATAATTGTTGTATGTTTTTCCAATTTCCTCTCAAATTTTCATATTTTCTACAGAATCTCTTTAAGTCATTTTTACACCAGAGGTTCCTGTCAGGGATATGAACCATTCGACATAAAAAAGGGTCTGGGTTTGGGTACAAGAATAAAATTTTAAAGGACTCGGGTCCAGGTTCATGGAAAAAATAATGACTCAAAGTAAGATTTTTTTAAAATTCATTTATTATTATACTTCAATATATATATATTCATAATTTACAAATGATAAATTTAAAAATGAAATTTTTTATATTTTAAATGTTTTATTCTCGCACAATCAACATATCTTCTAAAATATCATCCTTGAGATAGTAGACAATATATATTTCAAAGATGAAAATTCACGTTCTACCCTTACCCAAAATAGATAGTTATCTTTATAAAATTATTGTACATGTATCGCCGGTACAGCCATGAAGATTCTAGATAAGATATATATAATTCTGGATATATTGAAGAATTTTCTTCCCAGAATATTAAAATATTTATTCCTTATTTATTCTCTTAACTTTGAGAACTTTACTATTAAAGATGCAATAGGCATTTTTTGATCCTCCTTTCTATCTGATGTTTGATTTTTTTTTCTCTATCTAAAAGTAAAATTACAAGATCATCAATGTTGCTATCATTATTATTATCACTACAACCAATAAGTATTGTTGTAGTCTCCAATATATTGTAAATAATGGAGTTTTGCTTATGTCATAAATCCTTAAGATGATCTTTAGCCATTTGTTTTTGCTCAATACTCAATAAAACTTGATATCGAGGGTCTAAATATATAGAAGCATATACAACATGCAAATATTGTTGCTCTCGAATTTTCATGTTTTCTAATATTTCGTATAAAAAGGACTGTAAATTTTTATAAATCTAATCGGCATCTAATCCATATGCCATAAAAATCAGTTAAACATAATTGTTCTGATTGTAATCTTAATGTTGTTATTTTTAAAGGAACTAATACACTAGTAAAGTCCTTTATTTGCCACCAATCAACTTCAGACAAAATGACTTCACATGCTCCTTATAATAAAATCATTACAGAAATCTTTCAAACTTAATAATCGTTCTAGTTTCATACAAATTGAGGACCAACATGTTGTGCATTATCATTTAAATTAAAATATTATTATTTGTACTATAAAATAATTCACTTTTAAAATAATCAATGTATTTCTATAAAATAGCGTATTAATAAATTTACATAATAAAATATTATTACACTGGAAAATAATTTATGATATCAATCTCTAAATAAAATGGAAGTCCAGGAAGAAATTGAAAGAAAAACGCGAAGATTAAATAAATGATTCCATAAAAAAAGTTAATAAAATTTAAAAAAATATTTTATTTAAAAATTTTTTTATGACACCTAGAACCCTTGGACCCTCCACTTTTAAAAGGGGTTCGGGTTCATTAGAAATACGAGGGTTCGGGTTCACATCCCTGGTTCCTGTGCACTCTTAAGCTTTCCATAAAATTATATTCTGACACTAAAAAATATATTAATATAAAAGGCTATAATCGTTTGGGTTAGTAAATTTATAAAAAGTAACAGCATTGAAAATTGTACTTACTAATTTTTTATAAAAATTTCAAAAATAAATAAATTTTTATTCGAATTTATTTTTTTTAGTATTTTTCAGAGTTGTTAAAAGATACTTTTTAAATGGATCTAGATACAGATACATAGTCTAAAAATTTATCTAGATACAGATACAGCTTCTAAAAAGTTATCTTGATACAGATACAATTTAAAATGTATCTAGGTACAGATACAATTTAAATAGGTACAGATACATTTTTTATTATACTCTTAGATAAGGTTTGAATAAACCTAAATTACGATTCTATTGTGAAAATTCATGAAATGATCTAAAAAATTTATTGACTCGATATCACATTTATCAAAATATAACTAAAATAATGATTTTTAGATATTAATATAATATATATGATTAAATGATTATAAATAATTATTAGATTTCAGTAATAAAATATTTTCAAAATTTTGGTCATTAAGACATCCTCGTTTATCTGTAAAGACATTTTTAGCTATACTAAAAAGTCTTTCAACAGGGGCGCTGGAAGGGATTGTGGTGTTATATATTTAATGAATAACATTTTTATATCAGGATATTGTTTAAAAATACTAAAATCTCGGCATTCATTTTTGAAAAAACTATAAAATTTGTTGATTATCAGAATTTAAATCATTAACAATCATATCTCCTGCTGTGGGATACTGAAAATAATCGGATATTAAATTATTGGTTTTTTTCCACAGGTTAATTTGCACTCATTTGAAGACTTTGATAATTCCTCAACTAATCTTTGTATTAATTGTTTTTTTTAATTAAAATTTTCATCCATTTGCAACCATGCCCAATCTAGTTTAAAAAAAGGATGAAGCATAGTTGCCAAAATATTTTCATCTTCAAAAATTGTCCCAATAAACCTAGAATTATTAAACACAGATTAATTTATTATTAATTTACCTATCTTCAATTCCTTTAAGTAAGGCATTTAAGAGTGGTAAACAAAATTTCAGGTTCATTTGTTTAAAATTTTTCAATTTAATAATGATCTGGGAAATAGTTTATCTCCCTACAGGATATCAAGTAAACTTGGGCTTGATTAGCTCATTTAAAATAATACTGTATATATAAATTTTATTTATAACTTACTAAACAATATTTATGAATAAAATCACATTCATTAGATAAAAATCTAGGTAGTTTTATACCATCGCAAATCTTGTCCAATTTTTCAAATTTAGTGTTAATAATTTCTGACATTAATTGTAAAGCATTATAAGTGGAGTTCCATCTAGTTATATTGGGACATATGAAATATTGGCCAATATTGTTTTTTATAATCTCAACTGTTGTGATTTATTTTGTCTATTCCATATATTTTGGCATTTAGACAATGTTGTACTATATATCTAAGGAATAAAATATTGAATATTATAATTAAAATTATAGTTTTACCCTCTGATATTGTTTACACTGCAAGGCTCTATTAGCATCTGAGTGGCAACAAGATTCAATGTGTGACTGGCACAACATTGATGATTAGGTAAAATATATGATTCTGATATTTCAAAATCCTGAGCAGTAGTATAAAGACATGATATTGATATTGGTGCAACTGTTTCTTCATCTTCCAGATCATCAATGGATTCACTAATATTTCAATTAACTTGAAAACTCTATCATAAATAAGTAATATTATGTTTATATTTATAATAAAATAAGCCTAAAAGACTTAATAAAGTTTTTGGCATTATCAGTAATGGTCTTTGAGATTTTATTTTGTATGCAATAATCCTTTGCTATATCTTGTAAATTTTTTGCTATTTTATCATATGTATGACTACCAGTCATTCTTTTACAAGCCAACGCTACATTTTTCTTTCCAAACTTGTTGGATCTATATAGTGTGCAGTGACTCCTATGTATGAACTAAAAATTAACATTTCTTAAAACTGCTCAAATAATTTGTTTGTAATTAAATTATTATACAAATTTAAATGTTTACCGGCGATAGGCATTCCAACAATCTGCTGTTGTGCATATTAACGATGGTTCTATTAGACTTTTAATGATTTCTTTCTTTTCATTCTCCCATCTTTGGGAAATTCTAGCAACCACTGTCTGTCTGCAAATTATATTTTTTTGTGGAGCTAATGTTTTGATCATTTATATAAACGATGGATTTTCAACAATTGAAAATGGCTGAATGCTATCTATAATAAAATCAGTTATTAAATCATCTAAAGTGGTTTGGGTTAAAGTCTGAGGTCTCTTGGAAAAAAAATCAATGGACGATGAGCCTAGTCCAATATTTTCTTTAATAGATTTTTTCTCCTTGCCCTCTTTTATTTGGATTAAGAGTGTTTGATGTTTTCTCTTAAAATTTAAAATTAAAATTGTAAACATTTATTTAGTATCTATACCCTTAAATGTTTTACAATGTAGCAAGTTGAGGTAATGCTAACTGAAATTTGCATATTTTTTGGTAGACATGACAAAAACTTTACTAACAGAGATTTGTTTTCTTTATTTTGAGATATTATTTTAAAATATGTTCTATAAATTGGCCATGGAAGAATGTTGTCATTTTCTTCATCAATATTAATCTTAAAAATTAATATAATAGAATAAAATAAAATAAAATACCAATTCCATTGCAATTAAAAATGGCAAATTCTTGAGATGGACTGTATTGTAATATCAGAATTTGCTTGTTATTGATAACTCGGACATAATATTTAATTAATATTTATATATTCTTTTTTATATATAAGTTTTAATATTTTACATATATATATAATTTTTTAATATATATTTATATTAATTTGTATGCTCATATGAAATAAAATAAATTTTACACTCAAGTATTTTTATTTATAATATAAAAAAGCGTTAAATAAAAGTATATCAAAATTTATCTTAAAAAGTATCTAAAAACAGATACAGATACCTCCAAAATAATATCTAGATACAGAGAGAGATACTCTAATCAAAAATCTATCTAGATACAGATACCACATTTTTATATCTAGCTACAGTATCTAGATACTTTAACAACTGTTATTTTTTTTAAAAAATAAATTTTTATAAATACCGAAAAATGAAATTGGACACCATTTTATTTTTACATTAAAAATAGCTTATGTTATTTTTTTCTTCAAAATTTATTATTTTATTTATTTATATTTTTAAGATTTTGGACGCAGCCTTAAATAAATAAAAACATTCTCAAACATAATTCTAGAAATTTTTTTTATAAATTTTAAGAATTTTAATATATACCATTTTATTAAAACTTGCGAAATTTTGAAAGTTTTCCAATTTCTTTTAAAATGGTTTTGGACATAGTCTTAAACGTAAAAAACAGGGGAAAATATCACTTGAAAAGTGCGAAAGTTTTTTTAAAAATTATAATTCTTAATATTTTAGGCACATTAAATATTTTACTTAAAAATTTTTACTTGTTATAAATTTTATATAAAATCATTCTATATGTTTTGTCTTTGGGACGCGTTCCTCGTCGATAGAGAAAAGTGCTCAATCCTTCCTATAAAACGTGTCATTGAGTAATTTTTTTATTTGCTAATTTTTGAAAGAATTATATTTTTTATGCTTATTTGGTTTCGATATTATTTTGTTATTTGAAGCCTGAAATTTTTATGTTTTTTAAATAATGAAAATTTTTAATTATTATATAACACTCTTTATTTGCTATACAATTTAGATGAGTGAGACAGATATATTTTCACGAGTAATCAATGATGACTTAGAATTTTCTATGGATGAACATTATGGACTCAAAGAAGAAGTTGTTTAAAATTTTAGAATATATTATATTTGATATAGGACAGAGATGCACCCATACCACTTTTTTTTTTTAGCCTACACTGATACCAAATCCGATTCCAACATAGCACCGGTCGATACAAAAAAATGTAATTTATTGAAAGAAAAGGCAAAGATATAAAATATTTATTTATCATTTATAAAATTTAAAGTAAATTAAAGAAATAGGGAAAAAAATTATCAACACCTTCTTTCTTTCTTGTCGGCTTATACATTTTTAGATGAATTTGAAATTTTTTTTATATAACTTTATGTATACTAAAACAACATTTTTAATATATTCGCTTAAAATTGAAAGTATCGTCCGATACCGATACTGATCAATCGGTGCATCTCTGATATATGATTTCATTCTTAGAAGAAGAAAAATATTTGTAAATTTTAAAATTTTTCTTATTTCGCCTATATTTATAAAATCTATTTTATAGTTATTTCCTCTCAGGAATAATTGAATTATTTGTTAATATTTGTTTTATATGGGAATTTAATTAATACATACAAAAAAAACAGGATTTATTGAAAATAGGTCCTGTCTACGATACTATATCAAGATCTATTTTTTTTCGATCATTATCCACTGTTGAAACGGAGAGTATGTGTGACACATCTACGGATATAATTTCACTTTTGAATTCAAATGATGGTTCTTTAGATCCAGGAAGGGTCAATCCATCTAACAAGCGTAAAGCTAGCTCTATTGATAGCTCTGATTTCAATGGTTTCTTCGATGATAAAAATGTAAACAATGGTGAATTAAAAGACCCTGTCCACATTGACAACGTTCAACAGATGTTTGGAAATATCGCGAATAAGAGGAATAAGATGTAAATGATTATTAATATTTGACAAAATTTTCATTTATAATTATGTAGTATCTCCAACAATAAATTTGGTGGTTATACGGTACTTTTCAAATGTATCTAGATACTAAAGATATTTAAATACCAATACACTCTTTAAAAATGCTTCTACACTAGATTTTCGATACAATACTTTATAGAATTAAATATTGTTAATATCATAATTAACTTTTGATGACTATAAAATAAATTATTGAGGCATTCTATTTTATCAATAGGTATATTTTTGCCACACTACACTAACCTTTTGTTATATTGTATAAGCCATTGAAGATTATCCATGATTAATGTTTACATATTTATGCACGTTAATCCATTTTTTTGAAACACCATTTAGAACTGCCCAGTTCCAGTACCTTCTTGAGGATTGGCTAAAACATCGGTCATCTTCGTAATGTGTCATAAGAAATATTTTTTTGCACAATATATAGAGAAATCTTTGAAGGTTCTAAAATTTAAGATTCTTAAAAAAAAAATAACATCATTTATTTAAATAAATTTGAGATTTGATCATTAAAAAAATTTTTGCATAAAAATTACAAAAGATTTACTTTAAAAATATTTGGAATTTTAGGTAAAATTTGATCAAAAATGTAATTTGCGCATTCTCGAAACCCCTTCAGAGATCAAAATCTTTGAAGATATTTTATTTTGAAGAGCATTTTAAACTCTGCCTAAGACCAAAAAGACAGATTTTTTATTATATAATAAAAAGACAAATATATTATTTATGATGAGTATGGTAAATAAAATAAATTAATGATTGTCTAAAGCTTTTTATCATAAGTTATTTATTAGTGTACTTTATTGGATTTCCTTTCTATTTCCGAAGTTTTAATTTAGATAGATATAGAAGAGCGTATTATAATATTTATTTTTTATTACATAATAATATCATTTATTATTTATAAATTAATAATTATTATTGTAATATCTTATCATAATAATATCATATTTATATTGTATATTAGAGATCTGTAAACACCGGATTGTGAGCTGGCCCGGGAAAATTTATATATAGATTACTGGGCAAAAATTTAACATGTTGAGAAGTCATACATAAAATAATTTCGGGTCAGGCTGGGGCCGGCTTTCATAACATTTTTATACACATTTTCTATATAGGATTTCTTTATAATGGAAAAAGTTAGTAAAATAAAAATAATATTCAATTCAAACAGATTATTTTAAACCCCCCCCCCCCCCCATCCACGCATTATGTTAAAAATAAGTTTTAAATATAAAAAAAACATGTCCAAAATATAATCCTAAAAAATTTTAATTTCAAAAATTTAATATTGATTTCATTAAAATTTTAAAACTTTGAATTTAAAATAAAAATTTTAGACTTAGTCTATAGAATAAAAAAATAAAAACGATGTAGATAAATAGAGAATTATTATATATGATAAAAGAAGGAAAAAAATGGCACACAACTTTTTATAATAAAATAATGATAAATAGATAATATAAAAAACAAACTATTTTATATTTTAAATTTTATTTAAATATAAATTTATTTTATCTTATATTTGATTCATAAATAAATATTATTTTATTTTTTTCTACTCAAAATATCATCAAGGTAAAAACGTTATTACTCAAAATTCTTTCGATATTTTTGTCGGTTCGGGTGCGCTCTATATACTCTTAAAAATATCAAAAAGGCAAATAAGCTAAAATGGCTGTCAAAATAGCCCCTATAAGTTTGAAGCGAGAGATTTAAAAAAATATTAAAAATTTAACTTTTACAGTTTAAATAGATTTTACTATTTAAATATTTAATATTAGATTAATATCATATAAAGAAAAATTTAATAATGACAATAATATGACCCCTCTGCCAGATCCAATAATTCCAACTTCACCCATATGCCATCTAGGATATGAATGGTTAGAAACTGTACTTAGTTCTAATCTAGGCTTGTTATTAACCAACGAAGAACTCAGAATAGCCATAGGCCTTCGCTTAGGATGTGAAATCGTAACACCTACATCATGCGTCTTATGTGAAACCCACATCGATAGTCTTGGACACCACCCCCTTCACTGTCGTTTCTCAAAAGGCAGATTACCCAGACACCATGCTATCAATTCGATCATCAACAGAACCTTTAAATCCTCAAATATTCTCTCCACCCTGGAACCATCCGGCCTCAGCCCCGAAAATCAATCCAGACCAGATGGTATGACGCTAGTCCCTTGAAACCAAGGTCTACCTCTCGCCTGGGATTATACTTGCGTGGATCGTTTTGCCAGATCTTTTTCTTCCAACTCTATCACGAAAGCCGTAAACACAAAAACAAACAAATATAGCAACCTTAATAATGTTTTGTTTGTTCCAGTAGTCTCAGATACCTGTGGATCATTTGGACCCCAAGCCCTAAAATTATTCAAAACAATAGGGCAAAGGTTACGCTTAATCACAGATGACCCAAAAGAAGGTTTCTACCTTCGACAGAGAATATCAACTGAAATCTGCCGTTCTAACTGCATATCCATACATGGGTCTATAAGCCCCATTGATCACACCTAATTAAATGTTTAATTATTATTTTATTTAATATAGGTTTTATATAAAATTTATTTTACAAATAGTTTACATGTTATTTTAAATATATATAATTTTAAAAAAAATGAGCATATATACTACATAATTAATATTAAAATCAAATTTAATATAAATGATATTAATATAAATTTTAATAAATATATAATTGTAATATTTAACATAATATAATTTTAATATAATATTTAAAGTAATTAATATATTTAAATTAAATTAATTTGATATAAAGAAAAATATATAAATTGTATTAATATAAATTTTAGTAATATATAATTGTAATATTTAATATGATTTAATTTTAATATAATAATTAATATTATTTATATAATTAATATAGTATAATTTATATTATATATTTATAATATTATAATATTATTTACCTATTTAATATAATTTATTTATAAGCATACAAATTTTAAGCTTAAGCAAAATTTAGCAAAAAGTCACGCGACAAAACATCAAAACACAAAAAAAAGTATATCATGCGGCACAATACCATTTTTGTCTAGATCTATTAGCAGCTTAATATATGCAAAAAGTTTTAATTTCATTCAAATTGTTTTGATTTATTATAACTGTCTTTTGTTGCTTGGGCAATTTCATTTATACATTCTTTTTATATGATAATAATGTCACGGGCAGGGCTTCGGACAAGAATTTATAAAAGATTTCTGGTCGCAGGCTTCGAACAATATTTTTTTTAATTTCGGGCCGAGCTTCGGGCAATTCTTTTTTAAAAAAAAATTAGCAGGCCAGGCCAGGAAACTTATGCAAATATTCTTAAGGGCCGAGAGCCGGGATATGCACACCTTTTTTATATATACGATATATACCAAATCTTTTTATTCCTCTTATAGACTCTAGCATGAAGTTGTGGTAATAGAAACTGACAAAAATCTTATAAATTTTTTTAAAAAGTTATTGTGGATTATATTTCATTTAAAAAAAATCGGTATCGCTGTGATTGGCCTCACCAATACCCTATTGGTATCGATATCAGCAGGAAAAAAAAGAATATTGATACATCGTTGAATTAATAGCTTAAGATTTGACACCAAGAAATGTCTTATTTGGTCGCCATTGGCTGTTTATTATAACATAATTAAATGAGAAATTTTTCTAAACAAATAAATCAAATTATTAAATAAAATATGAAACATATTAAAATTTAACGCAAATAATATAAGTGTATATCTTACTTTACTTTTATTACCGTATTTTCTCCTACAGTGAACCTACTATCACATCTACGCTAACTTTCTCAAATGTTTCGTCAGTCGTTTCAAACGTTACAAATATTGTAAGCACTCCAAATTTTGCGAATTATGGTTCGTATAACCCCACTGAATACCCATTTAACAAGGATGGTTATCGCTACATTCTGGCGGAACCAGATCCGAATGCCCCATATGCTTCTCAATTTCACAGTGAAGAAAGCGGGTGGTTAGCTGGTAAACCCATACCCCCCTTTCTTTACAGAACCTTTGTCCCACCGCATGTCACGCTTTCACTCAATGATAGAGGTAATTGTTCAGTACATTTTACAAATAATTTATATCTGAGTTAATAACTTCATTTATATATAATAATTCATAGTAAGATAATTAAGAATATTTCGAGATTATATTATTTATAATATAATATATTTACTCAAGCTGCCATGTTTTGATTGATTTTTAAATAATTTTTTTTATAAAAGCACATCAATTGAAGGTTAATGATAATCGCCTAATAGTGACTGGAGAGAAAGGGTACTCTATGATTAGAGCTACTCATGGTAATGCTTTTAAACTATTTTTTACCACTATTTTACACAATTTTTTTTTTATTTCCTCATTTTGAAAAAAAAAATATATACCATATTTTAAAGGAATAAATCATGGAACCTGGTATTTCGAATGTAAAATTGTAGAAATGTCTGAAAATACTGCTGCTAGAATAGGATGGGCTCAGCCTTATGGTATTTAGATTTTATATTATTTAAAAAAATATTTATTGAATCAGTATATAATTAGACTAAAAATTAGGATGTAACAGCTAGGCTAATTGATAATTAAACTACTTAAGAAATATTAAAATCTATTTGGCATAATTATTTAGTGGCTTATAATTAAATGTATTTATTGCGAGTTAAATATTACTTATAACATTATTTTACCATACATAAATTAAAAAATTTTTTTAAAAAAATAATATTTAAATTCATATATCGAAGCCAATCTACAAGCGCCATTAGGTTACGATAAATTTGGCTATTCTTGCCGCTCTAAGCACGGAACCTTGTTTCATCAATCAAAAGGGGTTCATTTCAACAACTCTGCTAGTTATAATGTAGGTGATGTGATAGGTTGTTATATTCATTTGCCCTCTTTAATTTATACGAGTAAACTGAATGCTAAAACTACCCATTTAAAAGAGAATGATAAGGAATTGCTATCTCCCGGTGGCCATTCTCTGATCGACGATAGCTGTAAAATTAATGTAAGTAATGAAATGGTAATGAATATTGAATAATTTTTAATTAAAAAAATATTTCTTACTTCACCCTTATAGCATTTTATCTAAAATAAGCATTTAAAACTTATTAATTGTAATTTTAAACTTATTATATTTAAACATAATCAAAAAAGTTTGAAATGATGCTTTACGAGGAAAAATGCATATATTTTATCATTAGGACATTGTCCAAAAATAGAATATATCATTTTTAAAGTTTTAATCTTTCTGGTTTAATTTATATACTATACCTAAAATCGGATTATAATTTTTTTATTCATTGAAGCCCTTAGTCAAATTTAAAGGATTTTTCTACTTTGAACAAAAAGATGAAATTGAAGCGCAATTGAAGAAAATGAAATCTCTACCAGGAAGCATAGTAAATAAATAACCTTAATTTTAACCCTTTTATTTTTAAATATTCTTTGATTATTATAAACTCAAATTGTTCATAACACTATTTTATTTTTTCTTTTATCATATATATTGAAAACAGATAATGATATAATTTTTCGCAATTACAAAAAAAAATATTATATAATAATAATCTCTATTTTTCTATATAAACAAAAAAATAAACATACATTTTTAATAATAATAAAAAAATAAACACTTATCGAACATGTACCCCCCTTTCAAGATAAAACATGGGGTACATGTAAAAATCAGCGATATAAACTGACTACATATATATTTATTTTTTTAACTAAAAGTGTTAACTATTAAAAATTAATCAAACACAAATTAAGAAGCATTAATCAAAACATCTTCCATATCTCCAGAAATTTCTTCAGCTCCTATCACCATTTCATTCGGAATCCTCGAATTTGAATTAATAGGTTCCCTGAATTCATTTATCAATCCCTCCCTTGAATGCATCATATTGTTCGAATATCTTGACATCCCATTTAATGAAATCATTCCTCCCATTTCTCTTGCCATTTGTGTTCTTCTCGGTTGTCCGTCATGTGTCAACCTATTCATTCCTTTGCTAAAAGACATCTGTTGAATCCTACCACTTGGACATTCCTTGGCTTTATGTCCTTTTCCACTGCAATTGAAACATGTCACGTTTATCGGCAATTCTACATTTCGCCTCGCTTGCGTATTGGATATATTTGACCATTCACCATTCCCAGAACCCATTCCATTTGACGATGAAGGACGATTAGACAATGCTACTCCTTCTTCTATTTGTTGTTTGATCCAATTGTCATGCCATACATTTGAAAGTGGATTGGACATGTCCAATGAATTTATTTGCAACATGTTACGATTGCATTTTAGAGGGTATCCATTTTAATTTTCTTTAAAATTAATTTTCACAATAAAACAAACTTAAGAACACAATTTCTCATAACAAATTTAAAAAAAAATAAAACCAAACAACCTCATTAATATCTTCACTTTTTACTGTTTCTTTCTTCTCTTACCCTTTAATTCCCTATTTACTACCAGTTGCCTTTTCACAATTTACATTTTTTCTCTTCTCAATTTTTACTTCTTAATTCTTTAATAATTAATTACTTTTATAACCAACAATTTTATATTACAAACTTATTACAATCCCAACTCATTTATTTTCCCATCTCCTTTTACCAACGATAAATAAAATTGCCTTTTTTGCAATTTAAGTTTCTTCACTTCTCAATACCGCTTACAATTTTTATAATCTTCTATTTTTACTTCTTAATTCTTTAATAATTAATTACATTTTATAACCAACAATTTTATATAACAAACTTATTACAATCCCAACTCATATACATACTTTATCTTCCATCTTTTACCAACGATAAATAAAAAAAAATTAAAAAGAGTTAAACTTTGGCATAATACCACTTGAACCCTCCTATATACAATTTAAAACAACAACTTAATCAACTACACATATTTTTTTTTACCACAATGCTATACATTCACTCATATATTTTTACCATTGGACTAAGCGATCCATAACCATTTTATTTTTACCATTGGACTAAGCGATTCATAACCATTTTACCCCTTAAATATTTTTACAATATATTATTCCATAATTCCCTCAGATAACAAGCATTTACAATCCTCCTATATATATATATTTCTTTTAAATTTTAATACTCATTTATATCCTTGTTTTCAGCTGATCTCGATTTCAGTTGATCTCGAAGTCTCGTTACTTCACTATTATCCTCCAATCTAACCTTAAATATTTTATTTCCCACATTACCTATAATCACTCCCTTCTCCCATTTTCCAGTTATTCCATACATCCTAACCCATACCAATTGATTAATCACATATTCAAAAATAACATTATCTTCAATTCCTACATCTTTATCCAAAGGTTTCAACATATCTAAAAAAATATTAATTTTTCTTCCCATCATTTTTTCCGCAGGTGATTTACCATCTTTTCCCACTGCACTATCCACAACTCAGCTTTCCCTTCTTTATGTTTCTTTAACCAACTTTTTACAATGGCTACCATTCGTTCAGTCTGTCCATTCGAACTTGGATGATATGGTGGTGCCATTATATGTCTCACATTCATTTTGCAACAAAAATCCCTGAATAACGAACTCACAAACGCCGGCCCGCCATCCGACATTAAAATACCTGGAATCCCAAATTTCGGAAATTTCTTGCAATGTTTTATAACTATTCCCGTGGTCAAGCCATATACCTCTTCAAATTCAATCCACTTAGAAAATGCATTCACATTCAAAATAAATTTTTTTCCTTCCCATTCAAAGAAATCTAAATAAACCCTTTCCCAAATACCTCTACATTTTGGCTAACTATAACCCTTTTCTTTCCGGGGCATATTAGACCAGGCATTGCAAATTTCACAACTTTTACCTAAATTATTAATTTTTTCATTCATCCCAGGCCACCATACATATTCTCTTCCCCATTGTTTCATTTTCGCTATTCCTTGATGACCCGCATGTAGCATATTTAAAACTTTTTCTCTAAATTTTCTGGGTACAACTACTCTATTTCCTCTCATTAAACAATCATCAATTCCGTCTCTATAATTTTAAATTTATTTCCTTTTATCATTCCACGTTTTTTTTCCCGTCAAACATAATTTTATCAAATCCAATTCCCTGTCCTCTAAAGTATATTTTTGAATTTCCTTCCACATAGTTGGACTACCCTTAAAACTTCCCGTTAATATCCGAATCAATGCCTCTACTTTATCATCCTCTTTTCTATTATTTTCTTCATCCATTCCTAATCCCGATAAAACATCTGGTAAATGATTTTCTTTTCCCTGCCTATATTTCAATTTTAAATCAAAACTACCTTACAACAACCAACGCTGAAGTCTTGGTGACATCATCAACTCCTTATTATCCTTCTTAAACAAATATATCAACGGTTTATGATCCGTGAGCACCACAAATTTTTTTCCAATCAAATATTCCCGGCATTTTGTTAATCCATAAATAACCGCCAATGATTCTTGCTCTATCACCGAATATCTCGTTTCTACATCTCTAAATACTCTCGAGAAAAATATTACCGGCCTTTCCATACCCTCAATTACATGTAACAGCGCTCCTCCCACTCCTTTGTTGGAAGCATTTACAGCTAAAATTACCTCCAAATTACTATTAAAATATACCAAAACAGGTTCTTTACTAATTTCAATTTCTCAAATGATATTTCCTGTTCCTCCTACCATTCAAACTTTACATTTTTCCTTAATAATTCATGCAAAGGCGCAGCTATTCTAGCAAAATCCGCTATAAATCTATGATAATAATTAATCATTCCTATGAAAACTTGAACTTCAGATTTGTTTGCAGGTTTATGCATATTCGCTAAACTCATCAAATTCTTATCAATCGGTTTTACTTCCGACCCATTCATCTTATGTCCCAAATATGCAACTTCAGTTACTCCCATAACACTCTTTTCACGACTAGCTTTTAAACCCTTATCTCTGATTCTTATGAAAACTTCCTCCAATCTCTGATTATGTTGCTCAACCGTTACCCTTGTCACTAAAACATCATCCATATAATAAAAAATTCCTTCCAAACCCTGAAAAACTGCAGCCAACGTACGCTGAAAAATCTGAGCTGACACACTCAACACAAACGGTAACCGACAAAAAGTAAATAATCCTTTAAACGTTGTTATTGTCAATAATTTCCTTGTACATTCTTTTATAGGTATTTGTAAATATGCACATGATAAATATATTTTCGAAAAATATTTTGCCCCTTTTAAGTTCGCCAAAATCTCTTCCATTCTTGGTAACGGATATTTTACTTCTACTACCAACGGATTAAGCGTTACTCAAAAATAGAAGATTATAAAAATTGTAAGCGATATTGAGAAGAGAAGAAACGTAAATTTCGAAAAAGGCATTTATTTATCGTTGGTAAAAGGAGATGGGAAGATAAATGAGTTGGGATTGTAATAAGTTTGTAATATAAAATTGTTGGTTATAAAAGTAATTAATTATTAAAGAATTAAGAAGTAAAAATTGAGAAGAGAAAAAATGTAAATTGTGAAAAGACAACTGGTAGTAAATAGGGAAATAAAGGGTAAGAGAAGAAAGAAACAAAAAAAAGTGAAGATAATAATGAGGTTGTTTGGTTTTTTTTTTAAAAAAAAGAATTACTTTTATAAAGTTTGATTTGTAGTAAAATTGTGAAAATTAATTTTAAAGAAAATAAAAATGGATACCTTCTATGTAAAATGCAATCGTACCATGTTGCAAATAAATTCATTGGACATGTCCAATCCACTCTCAAATGTATGGCATGACAATTGGATCAAGCAACAAATAGGAGAAGGATTAGCGTTGTCTAATAGTCCTTCATCATCAAATGGAATGGGTTAGAATGATGAATGGTCAAATATATCCAATATGCAAGCGAGGCGTAGAATTGCCGATAAACGTGATATATTTCAATTGCAATGGAAAAGGACATAAAACCAAGGAATGTCCAAGTGGTAGGATTCAACATAGCAATGGAATGAATAGGTTGACACATGACGGACAACCGAGAACAACACAAATGGCAAGAGAAATGGGAGGAATGATTTCATTAAATGGGATGTCAAGATATTCGAACATGATGCATTCAAGGGAGGGATTGATAAATGAATTCAGGGAACCTATTAATTCTAAATCGAGGATTCCGAATGAAATGGTGATAGGAGCTGAAGGAATTTCTAGAGATATGGAAGATGTTTTGATTAATGCTCCTTAATTTGTGTTTGATTAAGTTTTAATAGTTAACACTTTTAGTTAAAATAATAAATATATATGTAGTTAGTTTATATCGCTGATTTTTACATGTACCCCATGTTTTATCTTGAAAAGGGGGTACATGTTCGATAAGTGTTTGTTTTTTTATTATTAATAAAAATGTATGTTTATTTTTTTGTTTATATAGAAAAATAGAGATTATTATTATATAATATTTTTTTTGTAATTGCGAAAAATTATATCATTATCTGTTTTAAATATATACGAAGAAAAATAAAATAGTGTTATGAACAATTTGAGTTTATAAGAATCCAAGTTTAATATTTAAAAATAAAAGGTTATTAAATAAAAATTATTATCATATATTTTCTTATTTTTTTTCAGGAAGTTGTATATTTTTTCTTTGACTATACATAATTTTCATTGAGCTGTCACTACCTATTTTTTTTGACTATACATAACAATTGTCATTGCACTGTTGTTATCATTAAATCTTTATTGTTAATGAGTCATAGCTTGATTTATCCATTGTATCACTGGTCAGTCATGATCATTCTATTTTAAGCTTGGTATATTTATCCAGCATCATTATAATTTATTGGACAAAATCATTATAGTTGATTAGACAGAATATTACTGTTGATTATCATTTAATTTTAATGGTTAATGTGTCATAGATCCATTGCATCATTGTAGTTTATTAAGTTGATTACACAGAATATTACACAAAATAAGTAAAAAAAAAATTATTTTAAATTACATCCAAAATGTATTCATTATTCATTCCTTTTACATTATCCAATATATTTCTTCTCTATCAATCATAATCCTAGATTTCAAATATTCTGATCCCAATTAACAAAATTTTATTAATTACATCCAAAATGTAATCATTATTCATTCCTTTTACATTATCCCTAATATATTTTCTCCCTATCAATCTTAATCCTAAGTTTCAAATATTAAACACAAAATTTCTGATCCCAATTAACATATTTTTATTATATGATGAACTCCACTACTTTCTCCCTTTCCCTGGATCTTAAATATCAAATAGCCGATTTTCTTCATTTCATTTATACTTTCAAAATTTAATACATATAAATATTCTATTATTAAACAATGGCTCTCTCCATTATTATAAATCCACATTTATATTCATAAAATCAAGAATATTTATATATATATATATATACAATATGACGTTAATATATAATAAACCTTGAATCAACATTTTAAACATAAAAATATTCTAATATTATATAATGGCTCCCTCCATTATTATCATTTACATAAATAAATCCACATTTTATATATATAAAATCTAAAATATTTTTATCAATTTACCTCTACACATTATTTTTCTATTTAAAAAAACTTGAACTATTTATAACCCATTCTTGATTATCAATCCATCTTCATCACCTAATTTCTTTCTTTATTTTTTTAAAATTAATTTACATATTTCATATTTATTTCTTTTTACCATTTTTTATAACTTTTTTATAATTTTTTTATAGTATATTTCAAAAAAAAATTCATTCAGGCCAATTATAATCCAAAATTTAAGTAAATATTAAGCAATCTTTTCTGTCCTGCATATCTTGAGGTCTGATTTTCCTATGACGGGATACCTGTTCTCCATTCAATGAGTCTTGAGGCTTGCTTACCAAATAACATAAAATAACACTTATTATAAAAATACTGGGTTTAAAAATTGAAATCAACACATATAATACCAAAAATATTATTACCTCCCATTATATCCAATGGGTCCAAAATAAAATTCCCAAAAGTATATTTTATAACATATATAATGGTTCCTCCATTTATATCTCCATTTATATATTGTTAACATTTTAAATGATAAACTTAAAAAATAAATAAATCTCTTTAAACCCATATTTCACTCTTTATAACTTATTTTTATTCAAATAAAACAATTTAAACCTTAAATACCCATACTTTACCTTCAATCTTATCTTCCTTTTTTTTGCGTAAAATTTAACTTTATTATTAAAATTTATAAAACAATATATTTTACTATGAAATTGGTATATAAATAAATAAATATAATAAAATAGGATCTTATGGAATATTTGGAACATATATGTATGGTCGTGCGTGGCAGTAAAAAATAAATATGAACAAAAATTTTTGTAAAATTCCTTGCTTTTTAATTAAGATATAGTAAAAAAAATTATATTAAATTTAAAAAGAAAAATTAAAATCAACTTAAGGATTTACTAGTTGAATACATAATTGGAAATAATAAATTATAACTTGATTTAAATGATTTTATTCTCTATATTTAATTATTCAGGTTCGTCATAACTTATAACCTTATAAAATTGTATTATTTATAGAGTTTAAATTATATTAATTGATAACGTCTTTATTTCGGGCAAATATTTAAAAAAATTCGAAATGTACAGACATTCGCAAATTTTAATGAAATTATAGAATTTTTAGAATTATGTTTTGGGAATTTTTTTATTTTTATATTTAAAATATCTTATTTTTGTTTTCGTTAAATCGATAGTAGGTGAATTTAATTTTTTGTTGTTTTGGACACAGTCTAAAATATATTACTAATTTCATAACAATAAATTTTTTAGATAGCCTTCTATAAAAATGGACGATTGGTCGAGAAGAAAGACATTTCAAAAGAATCACTCTCTTATGGTGATTATAGCCATAATAACCAATTTTCAAATAATCATCGTGAATTCAAAATCCATGCTAGCGAAGAAGAAATTAATCAAAGTAATACACTTAACGATTCAAAAATTCAGGTCTACACAGCTTTCGATAATGTATTTCAGGGAACCTACCATCCAGCCATCTCTATATATTTCAATAGCGTTGTTTCATTTAATCCTGGTCCTCAGTTTGAATACCCTCCTTCTATCTTTCCTTGTAACATGAAGGCATTACCAGTCTCAGATTTAGTTAGTTATTGTTCTGCTCAACAAGCCTTAAATGATATTCTATATTTTGTATGTAATCGAGATAAGTTAAAGATATAATCTCGAGTATATTTAGATATTAAATTGTTAAATTATGTTTATAAATGACACATTTTGGATTGTAAATATAATTATTTTGATTTTTGTATATTATTATTTGTCATATGTGAATAATTCCGAACCCACTTTTATAAAATATCAATATATTGATGTCATGCCACAAAAAAATATGATCGTATCTCACGAGTTTTCTCGTTAAGTATGGCTTACGAATAAGTAATTTTCTTAACATTAAAAGTATATAGTCATTATATGCACACCAAATTCATAAGCTTTCTTTCTTTCTAATTTATATGTATATTTGAGCAATTTGATATTTCATAGAAGCGATAATTCATAAGTATAGTGTTATTAATTTAATCACTCCCTCAAATTATAAGTTGTTTATTTTGGTGTGCATCAACACATATATTGGTTTAGGCCTTATAATTAAAAACAAATTTATAAAATGGGCTAGACTGGGTAACCTTAGTAAAAAATTGAAACTGGGCAGGATTAATCTAAAATTGAGCTTGGCCAGTCATTAACTAAACTTCCACGCCGGGCCAAAAAATTTTACCATTTGCAAGTCTCTCCTATAAAAAAACTATATTTTAATTAACTAAAATTTAAAAAATTATTAATAAAATGATAGGTAGCCATAACTTATAAAAAACTACTTTAGTTGGGTCCCTTTCGACACAATTTTAAAATTTAATATTTTTACAATTGTATTTGTAGCTCAAATTTTGAAACATATATAATGAAACCACTACGGTATCATCTGGTACCTATTTAAGTTATTAATTTTAGAGGTGTAGCTTGTTAAGCCTATATTGATTTTTTAAACCTGGACTTATGGGGTTAGGGGAGGGGGTATACAGTTAAAATTTTACGTGTTTATTATATATATATATTTATTAAGTTGAATAGAAAAAGATAAATTCATTGAAAATAGCTTTATAACGAATTTTATAAACATTAAAGAATTAAACCTAATGTTAACACAATTAAAGATTTGATTTTAAAATAAAAATAAAAAAAGTTATTTTTGAATAATGAAAAAAAATATTATAAAAAGAATAAATTAACTAATACATAGTCGTGGGGAAGAGGGGGGGGGGTATTACTGTTAAAAATGATATAAAATAAAAATTACCAACCTAAAAATTTCAAGTCGAATTTTTATTTTGGAAAAATCAACGCATTGGGAAATGAGATATGATCTTATTTGAGAAAAAATCACCTATTTTAAAAAATGTGACAAATCGAATATATCTTATAACATTCAGTTTAACATTTTTTAAATATATAAATAATTTTTAAAATTATAAAAATAAGAAAACATATTTTTGCAAGAAGGTGTATATAGTTCTCATATCTTATGGGTTAGCATAAATTTCAAATAAAAAGATGAATTCCGTTATACCTTTCCCTTCTGTGTGTATGTTAAATGACCATTATGTGATTGTGTCATACTGACTGCCCTGCGATTCTAATGTTTTTGCATAAACTCCCGAAATTTTTCGGTTGGTATTATTATCTTTTTCAATCATTAATAATTTTATTCTATTATATCACAAATTTATTTGAAATTTTATTAAATATAAAAAGAAATAAATTTTTATTTCGAAATTATATATTTAACCCTTCACTACATAGGTGGAAAAAACTCCCGCGGTTACATAGGTGGGGTCTATTTTACCCCAAATTTTAAATAGCTATATCTCAGAAAATAATAAAATTTAAGACCTAAAATTTTACACACTTATTGTAAAAATATTGAGATAATAAATACAAAATTTCTAGATTTCCATTTACTTCTAAATAAAGTTATGATATTTTTACTAAAGCTGCTCAAAAAAAAAATCTTTTTTGGAACTTTTCTTAATCATATGATATGACCAAAAATAAATGAAAGGAAGCAAATTTGATTATATATTTTATTAATTCAATATTTTATAGTAATAATTAAATAAATTTTATAATAAAACATCAGATATTAAAAAAAATATTTGATATTAAAGTTCATGCATCTTTTTTAAAAATATTCACGACATGTTACATAAATATGATCTTTGCATATAAATTTTGAACAAATAAATGAGGATTTCTTGTCCCTAACTCTTGGACAAGAGGAGCACTTCCTTTTTGTTTGGTTGATATAGGTTTTAATTCTTCTATATTAAGCATATTCCCAATATTATCCCTTAGCAGTTTATGTACTAATATAAACTTTGATCTATTAATCTCCTTTAAATTATTGGACTTATAAATTATTAAAGAATTTATGCAAGATATATTCAACAAATTATAAAAAATTGCCATAGGACATCTATTTGTTATTCTGGATATTGAATAATTTGAACATAGCTGATCCACAACATCAACACGAGTCTTGGTGAGATTGTAAAATGTGATAATTTCTGGTTTTTTCAAATCCCCAGTTGATGTATCAATATTATTATCATAGTGAAGGGTAGAAAGCATCATGCTTATACTTTTTTGGTACATATGATACTAATGTCATATTATCTTAGCAGGCAAATAAACTTGAACAAATATCTTTCTTTTTAAAATTAATTAAATGATGTTGGAAACTGCTTTTTATTTTTTCTTAAAGTTCCTACTATTGTTAATGAATGGGAATTTAATAAATGTATAGCAAGTTCATAACTGGTAAACCAGTTATCTGTGGTGACATTCCTATTACTCTTAGAAATGGGCTGAATTAACCTTTCAACCACATCAAAAGGCTTATTTCTCAATTTATATGGTGCTTCAGGCTGATTGCCAGCATATAATTCTATTTTCAAAGTATAAAATGTCACTTCTTATCTTATCTAGCACGTTGGTCATAGACCTGCCCAAAATGAGCGGACGTGAATTATATGAAGGCCCACCAGAATAATTCAAATTAAAAATCATATGTTAAATTTATGATTTTTTACTCCACCGAAAAAATAAATAATATAAAATTTTCAAATTTATAGTCATATATATCAATCAAAAAATAGATATAATTATATTTTTTTCAATTATATTTATTAACCTGTCATACATAAATATAATTAGTAACAAAAAAAAATTGGATTAAAAAAAATTACGTCATTACATAGGTGGGGTATATTTTACCCCAAGCTCAACAAATAGCATATATCTCAAAAACTATCAAATCAATAATCATGAAATTTGGAAGTTGTATTCCTTGTTACAAAATATTAAACTACTGAAAAAACCAGGTCGGAATATCTTCTAGGTTTTGTATTACAATTATTATAAAAGTTGTGGGGTCGTATTTACCCCACCTTTGTAGTGAAGGGTTAAATTAAATGATTATATAAAATTTTAATATATTGGTAGTGATTAGCTACCGAACACGGTGATTGACAGACAAGAATAATAAATCTACATCCTCTGGTTTTGGAGATGGAGAAAAGTTCAGAATGATTACTGGGAATTATATAATGGGATGAGGATATTTATATTGGATGTTTATGATTATATTATTATAATGTTGTTATCGGTTATAGATGATTTATATAATTTGTATAAATGGTTATTTAATTGCAATAGAGAATATCATGAAGTCCAAGTTATATATATATTTATATATGCTACAATATTTATTTGAGAATAGCATGCTTGCCTCAATTGTTATTGACCTGCCTCTAAAGAGAATCGTGCTAATACTTGGATTGGGCGTTTTTTTTCTTACAGAAACTCTTATGAGAGCAAATGCAAACAGAATTTTTTAAATTTTGTCATAATTCAATTCAAACATTTAAAAAATGTCAATACTCCTATTTTTATTCTTTTAAACAATTTCTCATTCAAAACTAACATTCATTTTTAAAAAAATTTGTTACACGAAATATAATTTTTTCATTAAAAGTCAGTGTAATGTCTATAAATTATTTAAAAAATTTTTTTAAATTTATTAGCTTAAAATAACTTTGTGCAACTATATAAAAATACATAATAAAATATTCTATTTTTTAAAAAAAGAAGAATATCTATAGACAAATTGAACATATAGAAGTTATGCTCTATTTTATAGAAAATATTGCTCAAAGAGAAAAAAAATGTTAAATATAAAATAATCCTAAAATATTCTTATTTTTTATTTACGAAAATAATTTGCCTTATAAGGAAAGTAATGTAGAATCAAATTTTTTTAATGATGGAGTTTAAGATGATATTAACTAATTTTCTTTTCTAAAATAACCATTATGTGTCATATCATGAATATACTAAATAGAAATATGTTCATTGATATCAAATATACTGATTAATGTAAATTGCATGGGAAATTAATTAGTTGGACTGGGTAATCAATAATTTAACATTTTAATTAAATTATGACATATATATTTTCCCCTTATAAATCTATATCTATCAATCACAAAATTATGAAGGATATTTTTCTCTTGTAGTAAAATATATAAATTCTTGCTTAATCATGATGCCTATTAATTACTAAAATAACAATATATTAATTTTTTTAATATTAATTGTAACCCTATAAATTAATTTTTTGAGATTGTTTTAATTATTATAAGATATACTTTTATTCAATACCATTGTTGCAAAAAAAATTTTCATGCAAATAAATTTATTTAGAATTTTTTTAAAGAATATATTATAAGTTTAATGTAAACAATTAATTATTTTAAATGAGAATTTGTTTTATTTCAAGTGAATATTATTATTAAAGTAATAGCGGAATAAAATATATGCATCAAATTATTTGAAATCTTTACCTAACCTACTATATTATCTATGACATTATTGGTATTCTTTCAAAGAAATGAAATTCCTATAAAGACCAATTTTTTAAAGATATTGTATACGTTATGTTTGCTTCGCTAAAAAAAAATTTAATTTAAAGCCTTATATAAAATTATTCAAGAATATAAGGAAATTATTCCAGGATATTCAAATAATGTTTGCGAAATCATATTCGAAATTATATTAAATGATTTACCGATAATAATGGGAAGATGTGTATGAAAATTTTGAGTATAAATTGTTTACATTATATTCTGTATTCGAATTGGAGAAAATTATGATGAAATATTTAAAAAAATATATTCTATTCTTTATGCAAATTGGGGAAATATAAATTTACGGTATTACAGAGAAATTGTAGCCG